GTCTAGTTCATTTTATTGGGCGAACTCCATCTATCCCTTCCTATAGCACCGAGGAGGGCCCAAGTTATTGTTCAGGAGCTGGATGGTCAAGAGAGATCGGCATTGACTAATTGATGGGTATGCAAGAGGTCAATGAGGTCGGAATGAGTCAGTGCTTGGAACATCAAATTTAATGCTTCATTTAGAGCCAGCCATGGGAAACTTTCAAGAGTAGGCCGACCAGGTTATTCACAACTTTATGTTATATTTTTAATTGTATTGTTTTTTGTTATTATTATATTATTATTGTTTGATTACTTTTGTTATTATCTTTATTTGCGCTTATTTACTCCATTAATCCTGAAATGCCTCCAGTTGCTCCACGATGTTCTTGAAACTGGCCGTTTGCTACATTGCCTCCTATTGCCAGCCTCCCTGGACCAACATGCGCGAGTCGAGGAGTTGACTGGCATGGCTAAGGTCTGTCAGCAACTGCTGGATCACATGGGCAGCTTGATCGTCGCTTGGGGCGCCGACTGGCGTCGACAGTTGTCCGCTTGTCAGCTCCTCTTGCCCAGTCACGCTAAATCGGCGACGGGGTCGTCAGCCGACGCGATCTGCTCGCTGGTGACCGAACTCAAACCGGCCTCAAGCGTCACTGGATCCGACCCAATCGGTCTGGATGCCTCATCACCGGCGGCCATTCTGGCAGAGGTGAGTTGTTGACGTGTTGAAGTGATTACCAATAAACCCTTGACCTCACCATTGTTTCATCTCAAGAATAAGGACCAAGATCGTGTTGTCACCTACCTATTCTCGGTATATTTTTGTTGTTTACAATCACTTTCAATTCACTTTTGCAGCATGATCGTGTCTTAAAGGCAACCTAGATGAGCACACTTCTTCTGGAGTCCTCTGCCATAATAGTCATGATAATTTCTGGTATTGGACTGCGGACTTGGCACATTACTGGACGTTTCTCTGGGCTCTTATCTCTGACGTATTGTCCTAAAATGACAATTCGGCAAGGCTCATTGATATAAATAAAATCTGGGTTTTGAAGAGACCCTGAATATGATGATGATGCTGTAGATAGGAAGAGTAACTGGGTTTCGATTAATCTCCTGATATAACATTGTTCAGGAGACTTCTATTTCGTTTGAAAGTGCATTAAAAGGAGATTAAAAGGTCGACCTCGCCAGAAGACGGCGGCTGATTCCCGTTCTAATGCAGCCGTTTTACTCTAATACCACGTTCAGGCTGAGGCAGTCCAAGAAACATCGTCCCTCAGTTCGAGTGAAAATGGCCTGAATCTTAGGATGGACATAATTACAGCTGGAACTCATTTTTGTATAAGTCTCAAGTTAATAGTGGGTCAAGAAGAATGAGTTCCAGTTCCGATGATTTCCATCATAAGCTGGACAAAAGCACCAGTCTGTTTTGACCTGAAACGAGGACGGATGTCTCGTGGACTGCGTCAATCTAAACGTCATATTAAAGCTAAATCGATGCAGTGCAATTGGAATCAGTCTCTATCTTTTGGTGAAGATCTTCCAAAGAATCATGCTGGCATAAGTTTCATTTCGTCCGAAGAGACCTAAGTTGGCCTTACAGGAGGCCGAATGAGAGATATCACAATTGTTTAGCAGACAATTGGTCCAAGGATCGGTTTCACTTGTCTTTTTGACGAGTTGTACTGTGGCGCTGAGAATGGCGAGACTCACTGACGATGCCGACTACGATGCCGGCGAAACTTCTGGGAATGTACCACGTCAACGGCCCAACTTTGAAAATGATCATGCATAAAATGGACTCCGGACTAGGTGTGTTCCTCTAAGTCTTCCTACCAATATGACCAAGTTGCAAAAACAAGGTCAAACAACCTCAATGCAAATCTGTGCCTAGCTATCGTTCGCCGTATGACGACATTATCAGACGTTGGAAATCTTTTCATTTCGTTATAAGAGACGAATGGAAAGTATTCGTAATCCAGTTTTTCCACATAATCATACTAGTTTTGGTGCCTGCGAAACGTCCGAGAATGTTTCAATCCTATGATTCGAGGATAGAAATTATAATGATGTGGCAGTGGGTTCTTAATGAGGTTCGGTCATCTAGGTCCCCTTGAAAACACAACCAAGTTGCCTAAACGAGTTATTGTTGAACTTACTTCCATTTCGAGTGAAAGCCACAACAGATTCAAGGCCATCTTCCAACATCCACCAGAGCGACAAGGAGCATAAATCAAGACGGACTCTGGTCGGAACTGACTCAAGGTCAAAATATTCACCTTGTCGTTTACGCCTTACAACTGGAAAGAAGAAAAGTTGGGTTTAGAGGAATCTATTGTTTCATAATCGTTGAGCTTAAATCGATTTCGTGTGAAAGTGTTGGGTGAAGAGATTCGAAGCTTGGTTCCACCAGAAGACGACGACGGATTCCTCTTGACCAGCTGTCGATTGGCTTTACAGGAAGATTCATGCTGACGCTGTTTCCGAGGCAATCTCCTTCGATTCTGGTGAAAAGGTGCTAAGCTTTCGTCAGTCATATGACGGACATCATCAGAGCGAGGTAACATCGTCACAACAAAATTCAA